CTCTTTTAACTTATGCTCGAAGATTCCAAAATGATAAAAGTAAAAAGGCAGTAAAATTCAAGGACGTGAGCTGTGAGTCGTCTGGGGGGACAGCAGTCTCTGGGGAGCGCCCACCCCTTCCCCGACGCTTCCTGGGGCAAGTGGCGCCAGGGGGAGGCGGGCGGCCCAGCGCACTGACCTCGGTCGATCTGCAGGCTGGACAGGAGCGACAGCAGGGCCAGCAGCGGCCGCGAGGAACTCATGCCGGGAGCACGAACCGCCGCGGCACCCGGAACCCAGCACACGCCCGCCCGTGCCACGCATGCGCTCTACGCGCACCACGTGGACTACCCCTTGTGCGCTGCCCCCTAGCGCACCCTTTAGATAGTCAACCCAAGGGTGTCATTAGTCCAGGTGCCCAGGAACAGGCTGGGGCCTGAATTTAAAGTGGGGTCAGGCTAAAACAAACACAATTCCCTCAGGGTTCGTGTTGAGAGGCCTGCCATTTCAGAATCCCCTTCATGACCTGTTAACATTTGGAGGGACTTCCTTTCCTTTTATATTCAGATTCCTTTTAACAAACAAAATAGATCCAGAGACACAGAAGCATGGAACAGACTGAGCGATCTGAGGGAAGGCTGTTGTGGGTGGGTGGAGAGACATTAACCTAAGAACTTACGTTCATAACCCACCAACACAGACAATAGTGTGGTGAAGGCCTGGGGGAAGGGTACAGGGTGGAGGGGATCAATGGGGGGAAAAGGGCAACATTTGTGATACTTTCAAGAATAAAGATATATTCAGATTCCTTTTGTGCCTTGAAATGCCAGTGCAAAATGACAGAAAAGGTTTCAAGTTAAACATTTATTGCACACTCACTGTAGGCAACTGCCAAGTCCTCAAAATACACAGCTTAGCAACACAATTTCACCTTCAAGGACTGTACAGATATACCAACTGTATAAAACCGACTTACTGGAAACACTAGAATGACTTCAGAAGAAAACAACACTGAAGATTTGGAGATGGATATTTCAGCATAAGCAAAGGCCCAGAAGTGTGAAAATATGGTCTACCTGAAAATCTCAACTAGCCCTCAGTCACCATGCCTTCAAGCAATCTATCTCTGCCTCCATTTTAATTTTTGCTACTTGATAAATTTGCAGTTCTTTCAATTCCGTTGCCTCTAGTTCACTCATTTTTCTACCTACTCCCACTTAACTTTCCTGGAGAGCATTTTAGCAAAGCTACCTCGAAGCATGAAAAGTCCCACTAAAAGATCCAATCATTTTATTCACAGCAATTTATACTAAGGAAGCAAGGGTACTTTCAAAACCTAAAGTGTTACTTATAATAGCATAAAAATTTTAACTTTAAATGCTTAGTAGGGAACTATTGGATAAATTAAAATACATCATTAAAAGAAATTATTAAACCATTAAAATTTGTTTTTCAAGGAATATTTAATAAAGTAGATAACATGTGGTTTTCTAACATGTATTTTTATATCACAGAAGCCAAAGCAAAACATCCTGTGCATACTAGGTGAAAACGGCCTGCTTATTATGCATACACTGAGTGCAATTTAAAAATTTCTGTAATTATAGGTTCAGACTTTGGAATTTGAATAGGTGGTGCCAGTGTTCTTCTCTCCTTTCCTCATATGGGGAAAAAAAATTTCTTTTGAAAATCATTTGAAGCCAGGACAAAACTTCCATAGCTGTATTCTTAGGATCAACTCTGTAGAGTCTTCATGATTCAGGTAATACAAGTGAGGCTTGAATTCAACCTTTTAGAGAGGACATTCCAGCTCGCATGATCTCATCAACCAGGAGAATGTTGGTGGCAATCACAGTGCTGAAAGGGGAGGGATAAATCAGATTTCAGATATGAACTCTAATTCAACTTAATTTCCAACTAAACCGTGCAAATTACATCCAATTAAATTTCTCTTTTCTCCTCCATAGACAAAAGTCAAGTTTCATTTCTACACTTTTGTTTTTTACATTTTTATGGGGGTTAGGGGTAACAGAATACACCAAATTAAGAGAGTATGATGATTACCTAAAGGTTATTTTAGTTTTGGCTCTTCCAAACTTACCAGGAGTGAAGCAGCTGTTTCTTTACACAATAGTTATCCCATACACCTACTTCTGCTGCTACCATTGGCTCACCTGAAAAGTAATCCAGTAGTCTTAAAATCATATATAGCAGGTCATAGGATCAGAACGCTGTCTAAAAGAACAGAGTATTTTGTGCTGCTCTGCTCATCACGGATTCCTCTCATTTCCTCCAGTATTAACTATGAGAACCCAAGTTCCTCAACTAGTCAAATGCTGTACTCCAAACCATGATTCCTGTGTAGTTATCTTTGATGAGTGACCGACATCTACTTTGTGGACTTCAGTGGTAGGAATGCTCTATTTCGTTACCAAATATTTGCTCATCTTGTTTTTCTGGACACATTTGTCTGTATTAAATTATAGCACTTGGACTATAATCTGGCCAAAATGAGCTAATATTTTCCTCATTCCAGAAACCTTTTTTATTAACTTAAATGATGCTGTTGACAACAGTAGGTCTTACACATACTGACTGGATACATCTCAATGATCTCTTCCACTTTGTACTTACATAATTTGTATTCTTATGCTGGCCTAAGAACAGGGCTTTAAACATTTCATTACATTTAGTCCCCTCTTCCAGCATTATTTGCTATCCTCAGCCTTTTTTCACCAGTGAATACCATCAAATTGATTTTCTTATCAAAGTCCCTGATAAAAAAATTGAGTAAAGTAAACCTAATATAAAACCTTTCAATATTAACCTGAACCACCTACCACCACTGAACAACAAATCCATATTCTTTGAAACCACTCAAATATATATATTCGATGCCCTTAATTACTGTACACTGTCATCCTATTTTTATATTGTACTTCAGAACCCAGAGTTCACTGATAGGACTAATATTAAATTGCAAAGCAACTCCCCAAGATTCTTTTGATTCTTCCTGGCTTTACCTCACCTATATGAGACCTACTTTCCCCCTACAAATAGTTGCAGTCTCTTACCTGTGTTCAAATCCACACCCACAAGTTGACCTGATTCTGAATGTTCTGCTCGAACTTTAACTAATGTTTCCTGAAGATCAAAACCAGAATTCTGAGCAAGAACCTAAAATAAGCAAATTTAATCCTTTAAATACAGAACCTAAGAATTAATGGTCAAATGCACAATAAATGAATAGTATATCCAACAAATAACCAACAGAAAATCATGATTATCGATTGTAGTTTAACTTAAAAAGCAAGCTTGTACTTGTATATCCCCTACACTGCAAACTCTCTTAAAACAGTTATCTCTTGCCATCTGAAACTTCAGATAGTCAGGTTTCCTTTGCAGGGAAACCAAATACATTTGGATATTCTAGTGTTAGAGAGAAAACTGACCGAACTTATTCAAAACCCACATTATGAAAAAACCCACATTATCAAAAAGCTTTCAAGTTCATCAGCTGAATCATTTTGGTGTATTTTAGAAAATTTACTGTTAAAGTAGCCAGACCTTGGGAATAATGAGTAATGCATCAGCAAATGCTTGAACTCCAAGTTGGGCCCTGCCCTTTACGCTGGGCCGATATTTCATCAGGGCTTCTGCCATTGCCACTTCCACTGCACCAGCACCTGGAACTACACAGCCTGTTGGGTGGGTCAGGATGTAGGAGGGGAGAAAAAAGAAAATGCTAAGCTACAAAGAAAACTATAAAATTACAGGAAAACAAATTAAAAAACATACATGAAAACAACTTCTTGGGAATTCAATATAACCACAGCAATTTTAATACTGCATTTAAAAGCAATACAAGCAACATATCAAATAGCATGATTCGATTTCTTAAAAAATCCTGACCAAGGATATTTTTTTCCATGCTTTTCAGAGAGAATGGGGAAAACATTGACATGAGAGTCACATCAACTGGTTGCCTCCTGCACATGCCCCAATTGGGGCTGGGGATCATGCCCTTGACCGGAATTGAACCCAAGACCCTTCAGTCTGCTCTTACCACTGAGCAAAACTGGCCAGGGCTGCATGATTCAATTTAACTAGCACTTGGAAGCTCTTAACTCTTTATTTGTATCCACTTTCAGTAATGATATGCTATGAAAAAACTTAGCATACCATCATAGCCATTTTAAAGGGAAGACTTTACTTTTGCATGGTGTCTGGCTGTGTAAGTTACTGATAAAAAGAACACAGTATTCAGCCATGCTTTTCAGACTAGCAAAAAAAATAGTTTGAATAAAGTGAGATTCTTACCATCATCAATAGCATTTTTAACAGCCCTCAAGCCATCTCTTATTGCATCTTTGATTTGAGTGAGTGTGTGCTTATTTGGTCCTTTGACCAATAATGTGACAGAGCGAGGATTGTTACATTTTTCAATGAAGGTGAACTTCTCTTCTCCCTATGTAAAAAGAATATTTTCAAAAACAAGACATGGTTGTAAAAACAATGATCAGAGAAGAAACGATAAATAGCATATTAACAAAAAACAACACTGATCAATTTCTTTAAAAACACACACACAAGAAATGTGACTTTCCCACCAAAGGAGTTTAATTGCTACACATAAACCATTAAAATGTTTGTGAACAAAGCATAAATCTGATCCAGAGTTTGAATGAGTTTTTATTACTGAAGAATTAATGAACCAAAAAGTATTACCTTTGGAAATAAAATACACTTACCAATGTATACTCATAGACAAGTCCTGCATATCCCAAACAATCTGGATTTAGGTCATCAAGAGAATTTAGAGCTACCCCACCACACGCAAGAGTCAGCCTGAAATATTGAAGTATTTTAAGAAGTTGTAAATGATTCTTATTAGTTATGTTTAAAGAAAAGATTAGTAATTTTTAGGAAGCAATCTGTCAGAATTACATACTAAAATTATATTCTAAAATGTATTTTAACTTAAGCTTTTCCATGTACCACCAACCAGCTGAAAACTGGTCTTTTCTCCTAACCCTCCATTTAAACCACTCTCCCCAAGTCAGCAAATACTCCTCTGATATGAAATCTAAAGGTTAACATGAGCTCTTTCTTGTATTTCTGGAACTCCTTGATGCTGTCCCTTGACACTGAAAAATATGTACATACTTAAAAAAAACAATGTTCATAGCACTATTCATAAAACCCAAAAGGTAGAAACCCAAATAAATGTCCACTGACAGAAAAATGGATAAACAAGGATGTGATATTATCCATACAATGGAATGTTTGTCCTTAAAAAGAAAT